AAGTCCAGTGCAGTATTTTTGTCGATGTTTCAAAGAACCAATCCAATTTACATGAACTCAAGTGCTGAATCTATATCTAATCAGTTTATCTCCTATCTTTTGTGGAACACGGAGACACAATACTTTATCTCAGGAGCTTGTTATCAGTTTTCACTGCTGTTTTTATTCTATTAATGCAATATTTTTTAACCAAAGATGGACAACTTCGAACAAATGATTCAGAACAGTTGCTTAAAGCTACAATCCCCGACTGTGAAAAGCTGGTTAGTATTGAAGTGTCTTTATGAGAAGAAGGGAGAGCATGCTGGGTAATTTCACACCGATGGATGGCCTCCACACCAGCGCTCTCACATTAGGAGACCAATTACTGCGCGGCGAGATGAAAGAGACTTAGTAAATATGAAATAGGTTGTCCGGGGTGACATTAATAGAGTTAACCCAGGGACAGGGGGAGATCAGAGGGGCCTCGACCATATTAACCAATCTGTCTGTGTCCGCACACACAACAGCTGATCGAACATAATGACAGTGTGTGTCATCAAAACACAATGACCACTAACAACAGTGTGTGTGTGTGTGTGAGCATGGATGCTTCTGGGTGCATTTTACTGTCTGAAGGAATAGAAATACAACTATCCTGTTGTTCAGTAACACTACTATGTGAAATATATATAATGTATACTCTTAAGTCAGGTTTTACTCGCTGCTGCTTCAATACTCAGACTGTTCCACCACTGTTGAGGGATGACTGTGTGCATTATACACTTTTTACACACTATTAATGTTGTCACCTGCCATCATTACTTTTCTATGTACACTTATAGGGGTGCACAATAATAATAAACATTTTAACAAATCGTGATAACCAAATTGCAAGAAGCACATTATTTGGTAAAGGCTAAATATGTGAAATATCTGCATGAAGTATTGTGTCACTGCAAAGAGATCCTGGCCTTCAGACTGTAAACTAAAGACTTAAAAGACTAGGGCTGCACGATATATCGTGTCGTGGCGATAATCGCGTTACTCAAACACGTCATGTTACAATTCTTTTGCTGCTTGCTACAAAAGGAATAGGTACTTGAGTGAGTGACATGCAGGCTCTGCATGCACAGCAAACCACTAGAGATGTCCCGATCCGATCACGGGATTTTGAAAAGATCGGAATCGGGAGAAAAAAATCGGGGATCGGAAATTTTTTTAATTTTAATTTTTTTTTTTATTATTTTATTTAATGTTACAAAACAAAAATGACCATGTTCACATCTTAAAGTCATCCTGAGGCCTTAGTTTTGGTTTAAAATTACACAACAACATGTGTTGCTTCTTTTGGGCTTGTTTTCATAGACCTGGTTGCTTATTTCTCTCAAATCTGGCCACAGAGTGGGCGCAGTGTCTAATAGTAGCAGTAAGCTAACAAGAGGCTACGTTCAGCTGGTGACTCGGGAGTCGGGACAGAGAAAATGTCAGGAGTTTGGAAGTATTATAAAATTGAAAGCGAAGGCAGTGTAACAGCCAGATGCAATGTTTGCAAGGCGGAGGTTCCGCGTGGTGGAAAGAACAGAGCTACGTTCAACATGACCAATCTAATACCAAACACCACCACAACAACACGACGAGTACACAGCGGCCACTCAGGGGTAAACGGCACTGAAACAACCGGACACTTCAGAGACTTTTAAAAGGAAAGAGAAACTACCCCAGAACAGTGAAAAGGCCAAAAAGATAACAGCCAAGATAGCTGAATTCATTGCGTTGGATGACCAGCCGTTATCTGTTACCTTTTTTTTCTCTTAATTTTAATGCATTGCATAAAGATCGGATCGGGAAAAATCGGTATCGGCAGATTGTCAAAATCAAATGATCGGAATCGGATCGGGACATCCCTACCAATCACAATCATTCTTGATCAGATCACAGCAGGATAACCGAGCAAGCTCAGCTTGTTGCTCTGATAACATAAGATCCAGAAGTCCGTAAACTAAAATCCTTCATCGGTTAAATATCGTTAAAAAAATACCAATTGTATGGCATTAAGTTCAAGAAGGATGGTTTGCGAACAAGAAAACGGTCTTTTCTTCAATTCCTGTATTTTTTCATATCGCAGGGAAAAAAAATATATCGCAATGTCAGTTTTTTTTCAATATCGTGCATCCCTATAAAAGACATCTTGAAACACCACAACATGATTTATTAAGATAGATTTTTTATTATATATTCCTCTAATGTCGCAAATAATATCCCAACTACACTATATGTCATAATAAGTGCAATTAGTTAAGTTTTTTCCAAAAATTGTGGGCAGTCCCTATCTATTTACTTTGAGAATCCTGGGCTACTTTACTGGTTGTTACCATGGATGTGTACATACTTGATTTGATTTTACTTACGTGTGCTTGGCTCCTTATTTAATGTTTACTCAATGTCTCATTTACTGTATGCAATTGGTCCCTTTGTGGAAAAGATGTCTGTTGCTACTGCTACTACTTGTCCATGTAACTGAACTGGTTGAATCTGCTAACACACAAGCATCAGATGAAAACAGATTACCTAAAAACACTTTTCTGTGGTGGGTTTAGTTTGGGAAGTAGAAGGTTGGTGAGGGAGAGATGGTCTTTAATTAGATACATGCAGGCAGGCAGCTGGCATTGTTTACGCGGTAACCCACCCCCCCCCACCCCCCCCCCCCCCCCCCCCCCCCCCCCCCCCCCCCCCCCATGCCTCCTGACAGCAGCTTTGAAATATGGCTCTTCTTCTTGTTGGCTTTCTTCAGCTTTTGTCGTCCAGATTTAAAAGCATATTGGTGTTTATGCACAGAGCGCTATAATGATCTATCATACCATGCGTCAAGCGGGCTGAGTCCTCTGCTCCACATAAATAAGCAGCAATTTGGCCATCTGCTCGGATTCCTACCGTCTCCCTGGAGACCCCCATCTGCCTTTACATTATCAATTACAGTTCAGCCATAACGCTGCCCTCTCCTCAATAAACAACAGACACCCCTGCACTTCCTAACCTATCACCAAATGGTCATCTATGTTTTATTATTTTATGTTTAATTAATACCCTGTTTTCATCGAATTTAACACGTGCAGGATAGAGAAATACACCATCTAAGGTATCTTCAGACAACGTATGTTTTTCATGAATTGCTAGTTATTTCATTTGTAGTTTGAACTGTGTAATTCTTGAGGAACTCTTGATTGTTTGCTTTGTTTTAGCTAGTGATTGTGTAAACAATGTTCATTTATGTTACACTTCTGTACTTGAATGTTAATGAGATGAAATGTTTTGTTTGTTTGTGTTACTGTGGCCATAGTGTGTAAATGTATGTGTGTGGACCTCAAAAGGAATAGCCAATGCTAGTGCTAATGGGGATCCTCATAAAGACATATGAATGTACTGATCATGTGATTTCATGCATTTATATTTGTTGCCTGGACAAAAATAACAATGAGATTGCTTAAATAACCCCTTTTGTGAGAAGTGGTGTCATAGTCAGTGGCGACTGGTCATTAGGGGCAGGTGGGGCACAGCCCCACCTAGTGTCAGCAGAAAGTATTACAAATAATGATTACAAAAATGCAAAAAAATAAATAAAAAAATATATAAAATATATTTTAAGATCATGTTTAATCATCTGATTCGTCTGTACATTGCTGTTTTAGTCTGTGTTCTTCTAATTAGTGTGTCTACAGTCACAGTGTGTGCCTATTGAGCTGTTTAGAGCCATGTGGGACAAAACCTGATTATGCCCCTTCCTCTCGCTGTGAAGTCAACGGTGACTGTAAAAACTTCACTGCGCATGCTCAGAGTATTTTGTAATGAAATGTGTGTGTCAAAAAAATAATGACCAGAGGGGCATGGAGCTACCATCCCCACTATACGTCGTCTCAAATCATTCAGAGCTGATTGGCTGTAAGTACGTGTGCCGCGAAAAGTGTGGTGTGTGAAGAGGAGACGAGAGAGCTGCAGTGGCGCGTCCTAAAACCAGGAAGTAAGCTGCGCATGGCTTCCCTCGACAAAAAAGCAATGAGATTTCTCCAGAGGATTTTAGAAAATAGCTCGAAATAAGATCTGTGGGAAACGTACCTGTTAGATAAATGCACGTTTTGATTAGCCGGATAACATCCACATGTCTACCCTACTTTTATAATTTTTTTATCATAAATCTATGGATTAGATTTATGATAGACTTTTGAAACTACAAGAACATAAGGAGGACTTTTACAAAAAAGTAATAGAAATGTTTGTCCAGAAGGATAGGCAAATGGACTTCATCTTCAAGTCAAGGTAAGACCGCCATTTTATTGAAAATGGGATCTTACTAAGAGAGAACAATTCAATATTTAAATTATAAAATTACATTTTTTGGGTATCCTTTTGTTGAACTGTCTGTTTAAAATTAATCGAAGCATCAGACAAAAAAAGCTTTTGAAAATAATATTATATTTTGGTTTAGGTCAAAATATAATATTTGTAAACCCGAAGAGTCAGTGCCAGTGCCTCACCAGCCATGAACCTCACTGCACGTCACTGCAGAAGCTTATATATAGACATCTAAGTTTTTTGTGCCCCACCACTTTTGTACATATAAAAACGCCACTGGTCATAGTGTAAAGGTTAAAGCCATATTTTGCACCAAGTGTTAGACAGGTGTTGCCTAAAGTCAAACCTGCACGGCGCATAGTGGATCTTCTGTTCAATGAATAGATTAATTTACCATTAAACACCTTAAACAGATACAAATAAATCCATTTAGAAGGAGTCAATTACAACCGTAAATGCTTCAAAATGTGTTAGATAGTGTTTTACTTCCACTGGATTTCTGATCTCAGAATACTCTGCAAAATGTATATTCATCCATCTGCAGCATGACTTGCAGTCTTACTCTGTTCAACGCACTGCATGTAAGACGATGTTATAGCATGTGTTTTCACGATGAAACGTCTGCACCGCTGTCTTTCTGATCATGGTTTGTGATTCTTCTTTACTTTCAGTGTGGCACTCTGTACCTGGGATGATCTGTTGAGTTTTTCTCCAAAGTCTGGCTGTGAGGAGAGGATGAGAAGCACCCTTGTTCTGCAGTTTCCAGGAAAAGCGGCGAGGTTCTCAAGGGGACAGGTATGTGTGGGAAGAGGACCCTTGTCAAGAGCATGGCGCCTCATTAATATGGAGACAGGTGCTCTTTTGATGAGTTCATAAGCAGTTCAGCAGCAGCCTGGAAGTAGTGCACTTTACAAGGCTGTTCAAAGATCTTTGACATCTGAGGAGAGCCAGTGAAGCCAATAATCCTACTTTCAGAATGTGAGTCTTTCCTCTGAGATCAATCCCGGATCGAAACATCAAATAGAACTGCTGCTTTTCTCTTTTTAAACCCCCCCTCCTCCCCTTACAAAAATCACTTACTAGATGGTATTAGACAAGCTGGCAAAAGTGTCATTACCGCTGGGAAGAGGGGATGGATGGATTTCCGTCAAATTGTGGAATATTTTCCACCAATTTAAGCCCATGGTTAAGAGCGCAGCATTATTGATAAGACTGAGCTCTGGGTCCGGCGCGGTACCCAGGGGTCCGGAGAGAAGCAATCCACAGAAGTGGGCTTTCATGTTCATCTATGTACAAGAACAAAGCGAGGATTAAGTCTGGGCCTTTCATCCACAAAGCGGGAGGAGTATTATTTTCTTTTTTACCTTTTTACTCGCCCCTAGGGATGGTCCTGCACTCGGACATAAAACTGTCGCCTCTGGCAGGTGTGACGATCCCCCACACTGTGCTTTTCAAGAGTGTGGGAACATATCTGCCACTAATAGGCATGTTACTACACTGTTTGTCTGATTTCCAATGTGTCGTGCAAACCAAAGATGCTTGAGGTCATACTTACAGGTTACAGTTTAGAGTCAGTAGCACAAGTTGTCCTCTCCAATCAGGGTGAAATGTTGCCTCGATGCACTGACAGGAAATCAGGTTCATTATTTCTAGCCTTCCTTTTAATTTGAACGGATGTTTTATTTGACAACAGGGCGGTCAATCTGTTTGTATTGATGCTGTCATTTCTGGAGGCAAGAATGGGCCCAAGTTAAATCGTAGATATGTTGGGAATCATGTTTCATCCGTCTCTAAGGTTTATAAGTAGATTACCTTTTGTAATTCGTTTTGTTACACCAGTCAATAAGCGTCCGATGCAAATGTGGTTCATTTATATTTGAATTGATGTCCTGTCCCCATTAACTTATGCCTCTAATGCATTCTGGTACATTAGTAAATAGACCTGCCGGATTAATCATTAGTTCATTGGGATCATTTGCTTTCCTCGTGCTTAATCGAATCTCTGACATTGGTAATAAGGGCAGACTTCACCTGCCTCCCTGGACACTCAAAAACAAGGAAGAGTAATTTCAGGGGAATGTTATACTCTTTTATTTGTTTCACTTGGGCACCACATTTCCATTCTTGAAAAATGGATACGCACAAACATGTATCAATAGTTTGGATGTTGTTTCTCATATTAAGTGATAAAGTTTGACTTGAATTGACATTTAGATTTCTACCTGTTTCCCTTATTTCCATGCACCCTCGCTCTCCGTTATCACCCTCTCTCACACTGACCCTGATAATGAATGGCTTATATGTCTTGAGAATAAAACCTCTAAATAGGCTCCTTGAACATTATTTATTTAGTTCTAATTAATGGAAGCATACCTGGATTGAATTGAACAAGGCTAAGGTCGCTGTGTCTCGTTATAAGAAGCCTTGTGTCCTTTTATCCTCCTTTTTACAGCCTGACATATTCATATAATGAATCATAATTAATAAAAGCACATGTTTTGATTTCCTTTACACTTGGCTACTTTAACATCTGCCACCTCATTTGGTAGTCTCTCTAAGGTTCAACAGTACGGATATGTATTGTCCACCTTTTCATGTCTTTTCTACATCAACATGTGTCCCCTCTTCTTCATGTCTCTTCTACATCAACATGTGTCCCCTCTTCTTCATGTCTCTTCTACATCAACATGTGTCCCCTCTTCTTCATGTCTCTTCTACATCAACATGTGTCCCCTCTTCTTCATGTCTCTTCTACATCAACATGTGTCCCCTCTTCTTCATGTCTCTTCTACATCAACATGTGTCCCCTCTGTGTAAAGAGACTCTGAAAGTTTCAGGAACAAAGATTCTCTCTCTTTTTGTCCTGATCCATTTATATAAATACCTGTCTGAAAATGAGCTGATCAGATTTTGGCCACTTTATGATGTCATAACAATTTGTCTTGTGTAATCATTAGCCAATTACCAACCAAGGTAACCCCCCCCCCACACCTTATCACCTGAATCTCCTCCTAGAGCACCATTGTGTTATTTCTAACCAAATATCTCTCAGAGGGGCGTGGGGAGGGGCTCCTTATTTTCATCTAAAGTAACAGACAGAGAATCAGCACTTTTGAAACAGGGCTGAAACAGAGGGGATTATGGGTAATGCTGCAATGATCTGTTTGGTATTTGGAGCCAAACACTTCAGAGACATGTTTTGTATATATCTGAGACCTATAATATATTGATGAAAAACAGTATCATAGGGGACCTTTAAATAACTTTGATGCTATGGACTTGTATTGCTATACTCTTGCTCTACTCTACATAGCATTATTAGCCTGTGGTTTAGTGCTTGCTGCCTTGCAACAGGGACATGTCATCACTTGAATCAGCACCCAGAGATGATCCATGGGTCATTGCATGTCTAGAAGTCAGTGTTGTGAATAAATGAGGTAAATATATGCCATGGTTTGTGCTGAGAATGATCTCCTTGAGTTGTTATGAACACATTTAGGACAAAACAAGTGCAGATAATCTTTTTTAAGCAGTTTATAATGCCGGCAATACTGATTCATTTTTCATGCGAGGTATCAGTATTTAATGCATCGCAATGCGCGCTCAGGGGCAGTTTTGAGTTTTGAGATGTGTCTTGAATAAATAGCCCTTAGACGCATTGTGTGTGAGGGACATGACCGGGAATAACAATATCCTTGTGTGCTCGACATTTTCCAAGTGTGTGTAACTGTATTAATGTGAAGTAGGCTTATCTTGTTATGGAAGCAAAATATCAGCTCAGTAATATAAGAAACAAGGTCTGGTCTTTCTAGGTAGGGTTGGGCAGTATATGGATATTATAACGAGATATAAGACTAGATATTATCTTAGATTTTGGGTAATATAGTCTTTTTTTCTGGTTTTAAAGACTGCTATACAGTAAAGTGAGGTGTGTATTTCCTAAATGTATCAGACTGTTCAAGCAGTTCTAGTATTTGTGTTTAATCACTAAGTCATACATCCACATTTGTGATAGTATTTAGTAAAAGCACGAATGGTCAACCGTACAACATCGCTGCATTATTGATATCAAGGTATTTGAAGGAGAACATTGTGATATGGGATTGTTCCATATCACCAAGCCCTAGTTCAAAGTCTTCCAGTAGACTTCTCATGTTAGGACTCATCAGATAGTAAGCTATGTGGATATACATCAGCAGCAGGCATTATGCCCTGTGTGGAATCCCATCCAAACAAAGAAGCCCATTGTAAATATGCCCTTAACCCATAACCCACCCAATCAGCACTTGTGTGTTGCTTTTGTTTTCCAACCATCCCCAAAACACATCCATCTCCTTAATGGATATTTTTCTAACATGGTTCAGAATATAGCCAACACCAAGAAAGGAGGATCATGGAGGGAGTCCAGGCCACACAGGCCCTTAAAAAGCAAGATTAATAACCCGGTGCAGATGATCTCATAGTTAAGTGTTTTCTGTTGTATTTACACATCCGCCCGGGCTGTCAGGCCTCTGCTCGTCTCTGAGAAATGGAAGCGACACATCCTGACACTAATGCATCGCTGGAAATATTTGAAATGAATAAAGCTCATGGTTTCCAGCAGCAGAGAGAGAGACATTACAAACACTCCATTTGACATTGACACAATGGCGCCTCTGCTCAATGCAAATACTGTTATTCTCCCCCATCCAACCCCCCCCTCTTCCTCCTTTTGATGGAGGAGTCACACAGGGGAAAATCTCCCGTACTCAATGCAAACTAATGAGACATATTAATGACATTAGACACTTAATTCAATCCATGTATAATTCATAATAATTGATTGCCCTGGTTTGAAGGAGTAGCTTTTGTGAGAGAAATGATCCTATTAAGCCAGGTTTAATCCAAATCTAAGCTGTCAAAACACCCGGCTCTTATTGCATCTCGCATTGTTAATTGTCATAAGCATTTCAGATTGATTATTCGCACGTTTGGGAATGAGCTTTCATTCATGATTTTCACTGTTATAAACTAGGTGTGTCACTCCAACACCTTCGCTTTTTTTTAATGATTCTTTATTTTCTCATAGATAAGAGGGTATATTAACAAAACCAATTTTCAAGATAAATATTTCCACATTACGAAATGTATTTGGAATATCAACGTAATGTCTTTTTCCTACTCACCATTTGTCTCGTTCTGTCTCGCCATTATTGTACTATAGTGCGTGTCTGGTGTTCTCAAATATGACTGTGATATAGCCGATCAAATGTTTTATTTTTTACTGTATTTAGCAAAACTGTTTATTAAGGGAATTAGGAATTACTTTGTACAGCATTAAATATGCCATTAAGCAGCTCCTTCTTACTCTAATTGCCGTGCATTTCTTTGCCTTTTGTAAGCGGAAGAATACCTGCTATGATGCCAAACTCTCACAACAATCATCACTCCTTGGATGTTTCACTCCTGAACAAATATATCTCCCTGTTAGCAGCCTTATTCCACTTGCATCCTGTTATTGGACCATGGGAGAATTTGCCCACCGTAAGCCCTCACCAGGGGGCATTCATCTGGCAGATTTACGCCACTTTTATGTTATTTGATAATCAATTTATCATCAAAGCTAAAAGTGCATGGGAACAGGAAATGGGTGTCGAGTTCACAAAGGAATAGAGGGATGAGAAAATTGACAGAACACATCGCAGTGTGACCTGTGCATGTCTCTGCCTCCAAATAATTCAATCTGTTAAAGCTTGTAGAAGACCGTTAAACACAGAATGAACATGTGACTCTCTGTTTTAGGAGAGCATGGCATA